GAACTTAGGGGCAACAATAGATAAGTGGAGCCCACTGACCAGTCTCACGACCACCATTTTCAAGGAACCTGACACTGACAGAGAATCTATAACTGTGTGTGGTTTTTATGATCATTTAAATACAACTAAACTCAGTGAACATTCAGACTCTACCTCTGGGCATTACTTGCCTTACAGATATACCAATATTTCAAAAGGAACCTTTGAAAGTTGAGCCTTTAAAAATCCAGTCAAATGCAACTAATCAATGTTTGTTCAGAACTTATTACATGGTCAGAACTATTATGTGGGAATACAAAGGAAGTATTCCCTTAAGTGGTAATACTTAAGACGGAAGATTTACTATGTGTCAGCCATTTCATACATCTGTCTTATGAACTAAGTAGTATCATTATCATACTCATTTTAAGATAACACTGAACCTCAGAAAGATTAAGTGAATCCCTAGGATCACACAGAACTGTGATCCAAACCAAGATGTACCTGACTCCACAGAGAAAGCTTTTGAATACTTACAAAGAACTTGAAATCTCTATTGGCAAAAAATGTGAAATGACAACATGAAACAGCAGCCTTGGCTTATGTCCTCTATTTTACTGTGCAAATTAAAGTGTTGAGTAACATGCTGATAAAAGCTCAAGTCTCAAAACCTGCTTTGAAAGAGACATCAAGCCCGTGAAAAACACAAAAAGACAAATAAACAAGGGCTACTGCTATTTAAGATGCCTGAAAAGCAAAAGCTATCTCTCCAGTCCATATTACTTGAGAGCTGCTTGTTCAGTCTCCAGTTTTACCCTTTGTAAGTTCATCATTTAGATTGGAGACCAAACTCTAAGATGAAACTAAGAACTCGATCCACCTACTTTCAGAAGCGCACATATTCCTGATAGCGAGGAGCCTGCAGTGAACAATTGCTCGACCTGGAGGGAGGAGCTCTGACGCTGTGTTCAGAACCCACATTCAGCTTCACAGCGCTGCAGCCCGGTGAATGCCTGCCCTTGGGCTGCCTGTGGCACAGATAACACCCATTACAATAATAAACTCACAAGCTGAGCGAAGCTCAAGACCTGTGGATCCACAAAGGAAATAAATTACATCTCTTCTGAGGCAGGCTCAGAGAATCAGGCAAAGGAGTTTAAGGCTGGATACCAGCCGAAAGGAGAGGTCGAGTGAGATTTAAAAAGAAAAACCAGTTGAAGTGACAAAGAGCTGAAAGGGCCCAAGCTCACAAACAGCCTGGCTTACTCTCACCAATTATACAGCGAGAAAACATGCCTTAAATCATGCTTTAAAAATACTTAAAAGTGAAAATAGCTCAAACCTAAGTGTAAACTTCAGATTGCTTAAGATTTTTATCCTACTAAGTAACAAGACTGTCAGCAGGGAAATTTTTTTCCTCCCTGTGGAAGTAGGCTGGGACTGTCACAAAGTCAATTAGGAAACCAGAGGACATGCTCATTACAGTTTAACAAGCTCGATGGGCATGAAGGAGCGTGAGGGGCAGCCGGTGGCTTGGGTCAGCTGGGCCAGGGATGCCGAATGGGCCAGATGGGCAAATCACACCATGGACAAAGAGCCCTCCCTTGTCCTGCTGGGCCACTGCCCTGACCTCCAAATAAACGTGAAGGGCACAAATTTATTCCCCCTTATCAGCTGCTTACTTAGCTCAGCAGCTGCTGGCATGAGTTTCTGTGTCCACATCCTGCCTTTTCCAACAGTTGCCTTTTTGTCTAACTTTTGTGTGAGGAAGGAGCCCAGCGCATAATGGAGAACTGGTGCAGTGAATGTTTGACGACTGAGCAGCTGAATAGAGGAACAGAACATTGATTTTTTTTTTTTTAACAACCTCTGGGAAATCCGGGGACCCAGAAAACACAAAGTACTGGTTGTTAGTTCTCTCCTTGTTCACTCTGCTAAAAGGGTACCATTTTCTTTTCGGAAATCCTATTGCCAACTTGAAGTGGAGGCGTGTATGAAATGGATCATAAATTGTTTGTTCCTAAACCAGCCATGAAAATAAGGGCTACCCAGTAGGCCAGGCTAGGAACCAAGCCAGGCCCGTGGAGATTTAGCTAAAGGACTAAATGAAAATCAGGCAGGAGGTCTGGGGAGCAATACAACACATTTTCATCCTTCTGTCCAGAAGCATTCTGTTTGGTGCAACAGCTACTTGAGTAGAAGGCTAAGCACATTTATAGGCAAAGATTGTAAAGTGTTTTTGTGATAACAATAAGCAGAGATAGTTGAGCCTGGTGGACCAATTCTATTAAAACTGTAGTTATTTAAAATATAAGTGGTTAGATATTAAAAATTATGACAATGTAACTGAAAAATAAGAAATATGTTTTCTTCTGCTACCTGAAACAAGCTATTTCATTTCTCTCTGTGGTATTTTCAGAATGTTAGAAAACTGTTTATTCTTACTTAGTAAATAGAAAAACTGAAGCCAAGAAGCCAAGGGTATTATGGAGCAGGGGAGGGATGGTAGGGAGGTGGGGAGAAGAATAAGAAAAGAGAGAGAGAGGGAGACTCAGTTGCCCTGGAAACAGCTCCAAAAGAAGGCGATTAAGGAGAAAAGAAGCAGAGGCTTTTCATTTCAACTTGTGTTTCTCTAACTGAGGCCTCTTCTATACCATTGCATCTCCCCATTCAGGGAGAATAAACTCACTTCCACAGACATTTACTGCACACAGCCCTCCAAAAGGCATCATGAAAGGATGCAAAGCTGAAGAGTGGTGATAAGGATGAAGAGGAAGCAACTGGATCTTAGAGAATACTGTCCGTTCCAGCCTGTCACACAGCAGGCCTGACAGAGCACTTCCCAGATGTGAGTCTTGCATGCTGGGAGCACCATGGCGTCTGAAGACTGAATTTAAATCCCAGGCCATCTCAGATGTGTCATTTCTCTGGGCATTGTTTTTGTGTTGGTAAAATGAGGATGATAATCATACCAACTTGTATCAGGCCATGTTAAGTTGAGAAAACAGAGCCATACAAGGTATGTTTTGACAAGAAAAACTTAATATACAGATCCTATTTTATGGATGCCAGAGGGCTGAATGAAAAAGAAAGGGGTGAGGAAAGCACCAGCAGTAACTATGGGAAGCAGCTCCCATCTCTTAGGTAGGAGGAACAAAAGGAAGAGGCTGAGACCATCAGAAACTGGACATGTGGTGCAAGAGACCTGCTTCCAAATCTCTGGGGACCCAGTGAGGCTGGTTCTGGGGAGCGGATGGATGCTGCAGCCTGGGACCAATGGCCAATCTGGGTGAAGGGCTATTGCTGGAAGGATACTGAAAGGAACCAATAGCAAACAGATGGAAAGAAAGAAATCTCTCCAGCCTTCAGTCTCTCTCTAGAGCTTCCTGTTGACAGAAATGAACAGGAAACCTTCTGCCATAGAAGAGCTAGTTTGAAGAAGCCAAGTTCCAACCATAAACCAGAGGATAGGAAGATAGATCTGGAGATGAGAGAAATCATTTTTAACCCAGCTCAGTATTTCACAGGGAAATCATCAGATTAAGTGAGTTGGTTCAGATGCTCCTCAACTTATAACGGGACTTTGTGCTCAGCTCATTGTAAACTAAAACTACTGCAAGCTGAAAATGCAGTTAATATAGCTAACCTCCACAACTTCATGGCTTAGCAACACAGTACCTTGCAGAGTATGGACCACTCACTCTTGGGGTTGCCTGACTGACTGGGAGCTGTGGCTTACTGCTGCTGTCCAGCATGGTGAGACAGCATTTCCCCAGCCTGGGAAAAGGTCAAAATTAGAAGTACAATTTCCACTTAACTATGGTAAAGTTGAAAAATCTTAAGTCAAGGACCATCTCTATTTATAAAGCGCTTAGAAGAGTGCTTGGCATACAGTAACTGCATCAATGTGCTTTAAATAAATAAATAAACCCACCAAAAACCACTGTGGGAAGTAATACGAGAATGTCAGCTTTATCTACAAGAATGGAGAGACTTAAAGTAGTCACATGGAATGCTCAAGGTCCCATAAACTAGTCACTAGTGGAGCCTGGGCCATCTAAACCTCAAGTGAGAAAAAACAGACAGTCTAGAAAAAAATAGTTTAGAAAAAACAGACATGTACTCAAATCACTTCCAAGAGATACAGGCTGTACAGTGCAATAGGAGACACACAAATGGCAGATGCTCCCTGGGGAGCACAAAGGAGGGAGGGAGAGATGCTGGCTGAATGATGTGGAAGACTTACTGGAGGTGATGAGGTTTGATTGGGGTTGCCAAAGACAGGGTTTTGACTAGCAGGGTGCTGAATGAAGAAGAAACTGTGTGAGCAAAGACCAGGGTGTGGGGCATGTATTCAATGGTGAATGTGCAAATTAGGAGGAGATAAAGATTCACCACTATCTCCTTCGATGTTAAAAAATATAGTTGATATATTTACATATGTTACTAGCAACACATATTCAAGAGTTCTTTAGAGGCAACTATGAGGATAAAATGTTGTGTAAACTTATGAAGAAATTTTTGAAGTAATAGAATTAGTTGAATAATAAATTTTTAATTCACATCCTTTTAAAAAGTCTTAATATTAAAATCAGAGGACAAATTACCTTGTTTTAAAATAGCTGAGTAAACCAGAAATCTAACTTGAATCTACTTTAGAATGTGCCAAATTGAGTTTCAATTAAGTCCACTTGTCAGAAAGTTATGTGTGAATTTACTTTATATCCTTTTTTCTTAATTCAACTCTTACTGCCAAGCACTGGCTCAGGTGCTAGAGAAGCAGAGAATTGTAAATGGTGGTTTAGTCTGTAAGGAATTCATAATCTGGGAGGGCAACTGGTAGATAATCAAATCTCTGTAACCACAACAGAAAGCAAAGGTTTAAGTACATTTAAAATATAGAACATCCAGTGGGGGGTGGAGGGGCGTGGAAAAGATTTTATCCCTGCTGCCCCAACAAGCAACAACAACAATGGCAGAAGTCAGTAGTTAAGATGTGAAAGAAGAGGAACCAAGACAAATTATGGTGACAAATTCATTTTATACAATGCTGAGCCAGATCACAAGGCTGCCTGGCTAAGGAAGTCAGAGTGGTATGGAGCTGGAAAAAGTTCTCCAATGTTTCCATGGTTCTGGATCTGGTCCATGAAGTCCTATGGTAAGAGAGTTGCCATGAAACCAAAGATAAAAACTGCACATCCCCATAATACTAACTAACCATTTCTAAACATGCACTACATACCAAGCACTTTAACATCAAATAGGTATTTTATTTAGACTTCTAGTTACTAGTCCATAAGACTCCTTCTACCCTTCTTCCTTTTAGTAAGACTTCCCCACTGACCTTTAGTAGAGTATCCACATGCTTTTCTGCAAAAAACAGGTTTCCAGCTCTCTTTGTAGTTTAAAGTGACCACACAGCTTAGTTTTCAGTAGAATGTAAGTAGCAGCAGTGCATACAGCTTTCAAGTCCCTTCCCTAAAAGAGAGTTGTTGGCCCTTCATTTCCTCTTTCCATGAGGGAGATGGGATACCAATGTTGTTTTAGTTCTTCTGTGTTGAAGAGAGAAGAATGCAATAGCAGGAGAGGAACAGCCTGGGTCCTAGGACAACTCTGTGGACCTGAAAAGCCACCTCCTCTTGCCACTGTATCTAGTGAGCATGCCTTTAGCACTCTACTATGGTCAGAGAACAAACACATACAAAAAAAACAGTATCATCAGAACTGTGTCAGGGTTAAAGGAGTATAGGCCATGGGTGAGGAAGTGTAGAAGACTCACTTGCAAACTGCATAAGATTTACTGAGTTGATGCTACCAAGGTCAAATTTACTTCTTTAGAAATCTCTGTTGCTTACATCATGGTTCTAGCTGAATTTGAAATGACTGTGTTTCCCTATTGAATGACCCTAATATGAGGAAAGGTTATTGCTTTGAGGAAGGGCAGACCTGTTCACCAAACAGTTTCTGAGCATTTGCTATGTACCAGTACCAAAGATGGAAACACACACACACACACACACACACACACACACACACACAATCTTTGCCCTCAAGATGTCTGTGAACTGGTGGAAAAATACTCTAATCTAAGAACAGCATTCAAAGGAATTAGTTAATATTCTTGGACTCAATACAGACAATCTGACTCAAACTGATTTAAGAATAAAAAAATCATTTGTAGGCTTATGCAATTGTAGGACCAAGAGTAACCCTGATTTCAGGCATTTAAACTATACTGAATGAAACGCCATAGACAGGGCCTGCACATTTGTATTTTTGCCCTTGCTGCTATCTATCCACCACAAATTTTGATTCTGCTTTAGAAATCTTAGTTTTAATACAGATCATCCAAGTTGTAAACTAGGAATTTAATCAGAGAGAGAAGCTGAAGGAAACAACCATTCACCATTCCCGAGGCAGTTAGGAAAATCCTGAACCCAGGCAAGAGCTGCCCCAACAGCACACCGTGCACCCCCATGTCGTTCTGTACTTAGAACATGGCAGTAAGGTGAGCTTCTAAGGGGCGTGGGTACAGAACCGTGCCATCTGTTCTGCAGTCCATGGAGGATTATGAAAGAGGCTGCCACTTCTCCTTATTTAACAATTACTCATCATGCAGTTACTCACCAGGCACTGAGCTACATGGTGAGGATAAAGGAGTCTCTAGGCAAAGAGCCTCTCCTCATGCAGCTTATTCTCTAAGAGGAAGACAAATACAGCAGGGAAACAAACTAATATTACTGACTGTGTTAGGTTCTATGGAGGAAACCCCATACATACTGTGGGTTTTTTATACCCATTCACTACACACTCCATGGTGGAGGTCAACACTGGATGGAGCGGAGCAAAGGCCTTGAGTTGATCTATTAGTGGAGACCTGAGAGATGGGAACCAGAACGAAGCAGTTGTTTGAAAGCCTGCAGTATGAACGCTATCACATTAAGGCGGTGGCAAGAGTACAGGCCCTGAGGCAGAGGGAACTATGTAGGGTGGAGACCCAGGGAGGGGCAGGGGAGACTACAGCTCAGTGAGGGGATACTCAGTGGGGTGAGCTTGACAAAGTGGGCAGGAGCCAGGCTATGGGATAGCCAGTTGGCTTCCATTTTATTTCACACACAGTGACATGTTTGCTTTAAAAGGAATCTCCTGACTATGTGTGGAGAAAGTACCAAATCAAATTGCAAGTCAGAGGGACACCAATGTCCAGGATTGGCCCCAGCAATCCAGGGCAGGCTGTGGAGTCCCCTGGAGCCCTGTTAGTAACAAAGGAGCCTGTACCAACAATGTCCAACAGCACATTCAGCGAAGAGGGAAATGTGCTGTATGTACGTAGGAGTGGCTCTTGAACACTAGAGCTGTGGGTAGTTTAATTAAAGAACTGGATTTTAATCTTATTCTATTTAATTTATTTAAATTTATGCAGATACATGCAACTATTGGGCATTATACTGTACCGCACAAGGCAACACTGGGCACTGGATGCTTGAGAATTTTACTTGGAACCCTGCAGCCAGGATCTACCCCAAAAGATGGGCACAGGAGCGGGTGCCTGGACCCCTACCCCCTGACACCCCTCTGCTGTACTCGGTCAAGACGCAATCTCTGGGGGCCCTGTGGCTTCATCTTGTTAGTAGGGAGGCACACAGCTGTGAGGAGCAAGGAACTGCAAAGAACGCTTTGGGGATCGCTCCTTCCAGCACGCACCAGCACCGCAAGCTTGCGGCCCAGCCATTGGCGGGAGAGGAACCGGCACCGCTGCGCCTGGCCTCCCCATTGCCCCGCAGCGGGACCGCGCAGACACCAGCTTCGCGAGCCGCACAGGTGAGCTGCACGACACGGGAACCCAGGGAACCACCGAGCCGGACTGAGGGTTCGCCTTCTCCATCTCCGCACCCTCCACCCCCGCACCCACGCGAGCAGTTGCCTCTTCTTCCCCGGGTGGGGGCGGGGATGGCGCGGACTGTCACCTGCACCGGATCTGCTTTCTGCGCGCTTTCGCTTTTCCCAGGGCTCGGCAAGGCCTGGCACAAGGAAAGCAGAGAAAGCGGAGCAGGTGGGCATTGAGGAGGGGCAGGACTGGCACCTTCGACCACGGGGGAGTCCCCATCCCCTCCCGGAAGACTGTCCCCGGGCCAGGCCCCTCGCCCAGCAGCGCTCGGGGCCGGGCTAGTTGGAAGGCGCCCTGACCTTGGTCTCTCCCTGGCGTCAGGTCTGGACAAGGACCATGGGCGCCGTGCTGGGCACAGGCGCGCGGCTGGCTCCCCTGACCGGCAGGGCCCGCGGCGCCCTCCCGCGCTGGGCACCCTCCCCGCCCGCCCGGGGCTGCCACTCCAAGCCCGGCCAGGCGCGCTCTGTGCCCCTGAAGAAGCGCGGATACGATGTCACCAGGAACCCACATCTCAACAAGGTAACGGTCTGGGTCTGCGAGCGGGGCTGGGCGCTGTCCTGTGACGCGCGGAAGGGCGCCCCGCCCTGGGGCCTTGGAAGGATAGTCCAGGGCGCCCTTCCAGTGACTTTCTGGTTTTGCCTTGCAGGAACTTGGTGTCCCTTGCTTTAGCCTTTCCCTTCCCTTCCTTCTCCCCCTTCTGCTTGGGGAGAGGTAACCAGTAATGCAGGGAGCTTAATTTCTTCAGCAAAACAATACAGACCAGGTTAAATTCTTCATGGTCAGTGTGACCTGGGGTCAGAACGCTCCTTGATGAGTACTAATCCTGTTGATCTTGGACAGCTCATTTAACCTCTGAGTCACTTTCCCCTATCTGTTAAAGAGATATAACTGACTCAAGAATGCTGTCAGATTTAAGGAGAAAATGAAAGAAAGCCAGTCTTTAGCACAGTGCCTGGCACCTAGTGAGATAATGTCAGCTAAGGTTACGATTGCTATGCTGAGAAAAAGATTAATTTGGAAGTGGGGAGAAGAAAGCCTAGAATTATAGAACTTTTAGAGCCTGAAGGAGCATCAGAAATCATAAAGACAAAGGGAACTTGTCCAAGGTCACCACCAAGTTAGTTCTGGCTCTGCCACTGGAATTGAGATGGCTAATGTTCTGGTCCAGTAGAGCCTATTGTTAATTAATGCTCATCTATTAACCTAAGAGCACACATAGCTGCTTTGGGGATGTAATTAGAATCTTTGGCTTTGAGGATTGGGTAAAGAGAGAAGCAACTGACCTATATTTGAGGTCTGTTTCCCCACCTCTTCATATTAACTTGGGAAACTCATTCAACTTCTCTAAGGTTCAAATTTCCCCAGTTAAAAGTAAACATTACAGTAGACCCACCCTTCTTACCTCATTTGGTTATTATGACTATAAAATGAATCACGAATTTAAAGTCATTATTTTAAACTACACAAAGTGTTGAGTAACCAAGCAAACACTCTAAAAATAAAAGATGTTTATAATGTCTTTGACTCCAGATTGTGAAATTCAAGTTAGAAAATCTGTGTGGTAAAGGTGTTTTTAAGAAGTAGGGACAATGAAGAGAGGGGAGGGAAATGGGAAAAAAAGAACCAAGATATATTATGTACAGGTACAAATTCCCTATGATGAATGTCACCATTGTGCATATCTAAAATGTACCAATAAAACTTAACAGACACAAAAAGAAGTAGTTACACTTGCATAATGCTATTATTTTGACTGTTTCCTGCAGAATTAATAGCAAAAGCTAAGGAAAAAAACTTTCTCTCAACCTGTACCTATCACACTGACCTTCTCTCCCCAAAAGCGATCTTAAATTCTCTATATGCTACTACCTTCCAACATATTTAAAGTGTTTATATCAGTTTGAATTATTTTCTTACTAGTGCTTAAAACCCAAAATGGCATAAGCAAACAAAAGGCTTCTTAAAAACCTTGAGGCAGGCCTGCTCCAGAAGCACAGATGGCTCTCCTAAAGGTGCAGGACCTCGCTAGCTCTCTGCTCTGCCTCTGCAATATCAGCCTCATCCTCAGGCTACACCCACTGAGCCTTTCTCCCCAAGTACTGCCACAGTCCCCCACCTCCTCTGCTCATACCATGCTCTGCTGGGGAGCTCCAGTGGAAGAGCAAGGGTATTTTCTTTGAAGCCTCAGAAAGTAAATCTTTCTGTCATAGATTCTGATTGATTCTATTCCCAAACCAACCACCTGTAAGCTGAGCCAGTGGGAACACACCCTGGAGTTGAAGATAAGATTTAACCTAAGTGGTTACTACTTCAAGTGGTTTAGAATAAAAGGCATGTGGTTTCCGTGTAATAAACCTTGATATTGTCATCTGACAATGGAGGGATGGATGCTAGGAAGCAAAATAGTAAGTTCTCATCATAGGCTCCAATCATGACAATCATTGTCTTAGAAGTATGAGCATGTTACCAGCCTCTTGTTTGGGGAATAGTTAAGAAAATAAAGAAAGAGTTCAAATGCCTGTTTATAACCCTAGATTTGGTCCTCTAAAAACACTTTTGTCCCTGGTCCCTTCTCCCTGATGTGAACTTTTATCTTCCCAAGTAATAAAAATGGAATATTAGCCACAAACCTTTTCATGATGTTAAATAACATTTTATACATCCCAGAAGTCAGTTGGTGCAGGTCAGGGGAGAGGACGGTATCTAGGGTACTTCTGAGAACCAGCTGGCACTGAACCTTGGGGGGAGAAGGAAGCAACAGAGAAGCAGTTGCACCCAGAAGCTGCTGTGGATGCCGGTCTCTTCCCACTGAAGTGCCACTCGCTGCTTGTCTGGTGGTATCCAGCGCTCAGAGGATCTCCACAGAAAGCTTGAGGCTTTGTGCTTTTCCTCAGACAGATGGGAGGATTATGCCATGGTTAAATAGAACAACAAGGTTGCAACTGAAGAAACAAAGAGAAGGGCAGTTTTGAAAGCATTTTTGGTGCTGTAGTTAATGGCAGGTCTGTGGGTGGAGTATTTCTTCCTACTGGAACATGAGTTCTTTCAGGGCAAAGGCTGTATTTCACGTACTGTATCTATAACTGACAGGCACTGGTGCAGAGAAGCTCCTGAAGGGTCTACAATTATCATTAAATTATTGGGATATGTTCCCTCAATTAGCATCTCACTTGTAAAAGATCAGGAGAGTATTTAGTTTGAACCTGGAGTGCAGAGGGTGGTCAGGAGGTGGGATTTTCTGAGGTGAGCTACTGAGCTGGATAAACATTGCTGACGCTGTATAGTTAGTGGGTTCTGCACCCTACTCAGTTGGGCCCTGACCTTGTGACCTGTCATGAATCTCATAAGCTCCTCTGCCCCTGTTATATCACTGCTGTGAGGATTTAGGAGATAACCCTTGTGAAATCACTTTGAAAACTGTAACATATTAAGTATTAGGTGGCTGTGTAGCCTAGTCCCAGAATTGGAGTTGGAAGGGCCCTAAGAGATGACCTGCTGTGGAACTGTTTGAACTATGGATTGTAAACCATAAGAGAGAATATTAGCCTAGTGGGTCCACTAGCAATTGGCTTTAAAAATAAATGTATTAGAGTAGAATAGAAAAAGAAGAAGAAAAAGTGCATTCATGTTAGTAAAGATAGATATTTTATCAGATCGATATGTAAAATGACTATTTGTACTGTGGATTTGGGTTGAAATTTTTTTTGAAGATCATTGTTCTTATCCAACGTTATCATTTTCAGAAGACAAGGCAAGCCTAGGAAGTCCAGTGTCCCTACAGAGAGTATCACTGGTTGTAGTTGTGGGGAAAGTTGCCTCTGAAATTTCAGTGTCAACTGTGCCAGCAGTTCACATCTGCTTTGGCTGATTTAGGTATGTTCCTATTGATGATGGAATTGGTATGAAATAATTCCAAGTTTGCCCCAAGGTCTAGAACTAAATGATGCAAATTCATCAATATATCAACTTTTTGCTTTCTTCTTCTTTATTTTTCTAACAGCCTGCCTTGTTTGTTCACATAGATGTGGCAAAAGAGATGAAATCAGCCATGTTTTACTTAAATAAGCAACTATCAACTAACCACTTTGTAGGGATCACCATTCTAGAAATGCAGCAAGCTGACCATTAAAATGCATCTGGCCTCATTCTTAACTATTATATTCTTTCTCAGTGCTGAGAATTGAATCCTGGGCCTCAGATAAGATAATCATCCACTGACCACCAAGCTACACCTCCAGCCCCAATTACAGCCTCGTTTAGGAAGAGCTTCCACTTTCCAATGTCCCAAACTAGACTTGAGCCCCCTGGCATTTGTCTTATCACTCTGTTTCCTTTGTGATATACTGTAAGAGCTGACTGATTTGCCTTCCACGGTAGACCCTGAGCACCATGAGGACAGAGACTGACTTGTCACATGATGTTTTGCCTGACATGAGATGTACAATAAATATTCTCAATAAATTATCTCAATCAAGTCATGGCCCTTTTTCTCTCAACTTTTTAAATACTAATATCAGTACCTTAAAACTCAGTGCTCTCATTGTCTAGTAAATGCCACATAGGGCCTATTCTTTGAGGCAATAAATCTATGTGACCCTAATCTTTCCAGGCTCCCAGTCATTTCACTGAAGGGTGTATTATTTCACCGGCCTCCTCTTTTTTGACCCAAACACCAACAGTGAGTTTTGATATAAAATTCCGTTGACCATTCGCCTATTTCTTTGCAGTTTTTTTTTTTTAATCTCTTGGCCTTGATGCTCAGGGAAATAATGAATGAAAAGACCAGTTAGTCATATTACTGTGATTGCAGGCCATTGCATTTCATGCAGTGGGTCCTCAGACACTGCACCGTACAGCAGGGGACACCCCTACCGTGTGTGCACTGTTCAGAAATCTTAAATAATCACTTCTGTTCACATTTAATTAGCCAGAACTTGGTCATAGGCACTATAAGCAGCAACAGAACCTGGGAAATGTAATGTTTAGCTGGGCATCTGTGTCTTCAGCTAAACTTTTATACCATTAAAGAAAAGAAGAATTGATGTTTAGGGGTACTGCTACAAACCATTAATCTGAAACTTTCATTCTTTTGCTCTGAAAATTTTACCCCAACCTTTACAAGCCATCAATTTCTCTACATCCCCACCCACACCAGCCCTGTTCACACTTTTATCATCTTTTATCTAGCTTATTGCAAGGACTTTCTAATTGATCTCCCACCCTCTAGCCTTTCTCAATCCAATCTTCTGCGTATGTTGACTACACCTGAGAGGTTAAGATCTTGAACATATCACTGACCACTGATTTCCTCTCATATCTCATAGCCAAGCCACTAAAAGATCTTCTTGGTGTTCAGCTTCTGCTATTGCAGGTGCCACTTTGCTTTAAGGCACTGTTTCTCTGCTGGATGAGGATCAAGGCCTTCCACCTGGTCTCCGTGCTTCCACTTTTTGCTGCTCTCACTTATCAAAACAAAGGCAGAGTGATCTTTTGTATGGGAAGTGAATGGAGACAATTTT